CCTCTCATATATAGTCACATTCAACGTCTCCAGTCACACATGCTGGATGAACTCGGCTTCTGCAAGAGTCGTTCCCGAGACATGTGGACGGAAATTTTGAACATTCAGGCGCAGAAGCCGGTCACTCGACAACGACGGGAGTGGCTCTTCGGACAGTGGGTTGGTTCTTCAGGGGGACTGTCTGGATACGGGCCGATTGCTGCTGGAGATCAGAATATTCCGCCAGAGAAAGAGCCTGAGTCACAGCCGCCACCTAGTCAATACGGCCAACCTCGAGCAAAGAAACCGGAATCGCCACAGCCGAAGCCATCCATTTTGCCCTCTGCAGCAGAATATGAAGAATGTAAGTTGGCTAATTTTTTAATTTTGTTCAGTTCATAGAAACACTTATTAGAGGTAAGCAGTCAAAAAACATTCATGAGTTTCAGGTTGTACCTGCCATCAGGGTTTGCCTGGACTTCCAGGACCACCGGGCAAAAATGGCAAGGACGGAATGGATGGAAAACCTGGAGCCGATGGCAAAAATGGAAAAAATGGAAAGATTTTGCAGCCAGAAGGCTCGACACCAGAACCATGCCAAATATGTTTACCAGGACCACCTGGCGCAATAGGAGAACATGGTCCAAGAGGGCCGCCTGGTCCTAAAGGCCGTCCTGGTTCTCCAGGAATTAACGGTCATCGAGGAGAGATGGGTCTTGCTGGTCCTCCCGGTATAGCAGGACCTAGCGGCGATTCAGGACCTAAGGGACCACAAGGTGTCAATGGAAAAATAATCGAAGTAATAATTAATAACAATTAAAACTGAGTTAAATAATATTAAGCACACTCTCTTATAGGTTGAGGGACCTGAAGGTCCACCAGGCATTGAAGGATCGATGGGCAAACAAGGTCCACCAGGAAGTCCAGGAAAAGACGGTAAAAATGGTCAGAAAGGTCCACATGGAGATACCGGTGAGGCTGGACCGCCTGGCAAAGAGGGCAAACCAGGTGGAATTGGTCCGCAAGGTCCTAAAGGACCACCAGGTTCACCCGGAAGCTGTGATCACTGTCCCATACCGCGAACTGCACCAGGATATTAAAGCGCAAATTGCAATCAGAAGAGTCTGCCACTTATCGATCACGACTAACGTTGTTGTATTTATTTTTCATCACTCTTCTGATGTGAAAGCAAACACCAGAATTAAACTCTGTTGGCTGCATTAAGCTTTACTATCTCACAGGGAGTGTAAACTGACGGAGTATGATGTCTGTCGTATTTGTCTGTGTTTGCTGAGTCATCGTCCTCAGTCATTTGCATACGCGGAACAGCGCTGACTAGTGATGTCCTCTGTATCCTCAAAATTTTTGGTATAAAACACCGGTTACTGCAAAAGGAAAGACTCTTCTCTGGAAGATCTGCTTACACATTTTTCCTCCATAATACATTTTGGCATGTTTGTCGACTTTTGCCATGTTTCGATTCCAATATGAGAAACTCACGGGCTGGAATAAATAAAGTATGCTTAGTAGAGGTTTCCTTAACAGGACCTACCTCATTTCCTGATTCTGCACATACACAGAAATCGTCTCTGCCCGTCAGAGCATCGAACCATTTTTTACGTGGTCATACGATTTAAACTTCAAAACTGACTGACGTGTGTGTCTTCGCGACTCAAAACGAAAAGTGGTTATGGAAGGTGAAGATGAATAAGTAAACATCGAAGCCAATATAGCAGCATGCAGTTCAATCGTCCATTTTGCTCCTTCTTTGAAACAACTGTTTTCATGTCGTACAACAACGATTACCTGATCTTTGTAGAAGAAACACTCCATTCTGGACTGGTTTCTAGAAGCATCCGAAGCTAAGGCGATACTCCATTGTAACTCCTGCTTGATGGTCCATTGCTTGAGGTTATGTAGTGAGAGATACTTAAATTGCAATTGTAAATACAACACCTTTAAGTTCCTGTTTCATTCGTAGACAGGTTCCTCATAATATTTGACTTCTGGAGGTAAAGACAGAGGCAGCTTTCGCAGCTGCGTCACATGCGGATGTCGTCTGATGACAGTCTGTTCTCCATAGTCAATGAGTACAATATTATCTGGGCACTTCAGCTGAACAAGGTATCTAGCCGGTCATCTTGATATCTACCTATAACAGATTTCCAGAAATGAAAAGCAAACTCCTAGGTCCTTAAATTCATGATATATGTTAATTTTAATCAGAAAATAAGAACGATCCCATTTTGGCTATTCGTATGGTCGTGTACAGTTACAAAGACTTCAATGGCAAACATGTTCACACTACTGGAAAACGTGGTCTGGTTGGAGAACATTTCGCGCATGTTAATGCAAATCTATCCATGACAATGACATGGATGACATGACAGACTGCAATAAAGCAAGGTTGGCAGGACCTGGTTAGCGTCCAAAACAGTTTATGTTGAGGAAATTTGCAAGCACCATTGGTGGAAGATTATAAACTCTGTGAACTCAAAATTGAGTTAGAAATCTCTAACACAAAGGAATGAGAGGTTACTTAACGAAACGAGAGTACTATTTTGAATGGTATCTTCGCAAGTGGTCTTCAGAATCGCTGTAGTAGGCGAATGCATATCTTCCATTTTCAGCAGAAATCGGCGTCCATATTACCGTCCTCGCGTGAGGATACTACGACCGCCAACTTTAGGTCTTCTGCCGTTAACTGTATATCATATCCACCGTGAAGCAAGATTTATATAGTTGCGAAAAATCAAGAATGGCAGACTCGACGACTCATGAATGAAAAACTGTTTGTTCTCCTGTATGATATAGGGAACGCCATCGAAAATACCTCATCGATCCGTAATTTTACGTCTGACTAGATCTACGAATCCATCTCCATCGAAAATATCTTGTTGAATTAGGAATAATACTCACCTTCTGCGCAGCAACCAACACGACGCAGAGTCTGTAACACAGGTCAAATACTCAGTGTAGATTGGCGATAACTTTTAGTACCTCGCCGATCATGAAAACAACCCCATCAAGTATACTACTACAACAATTGTTACAATGCTGTACACTAATTTTTCAGAGTTGTTAACCTACAGCAAACTTTTTGAAGTTCGCGCATTTAGCTGCAGTTGTGATGGCTAACAAGATGGGTTGCAAAGAGAACAACAAAAGCTACCTTCCAAACTTTTAATAAATTGTTGGTTTAAAACTTAAAGCGACTGGATGACAACAAACGTACGCATTGTTTCTTCACCTGAAAATTCTGCATCACTCACAAACTCATGACGCGGATGTAACTGTCCATAAAGAAGAAACAAGTATTTTGCTTAGAGTTACTTTCCTTCATGGAGCTGTCTTCAACGGTTTGTACCTCATGGTTCACCAATTGCGCACAAAACCATTAGATCCCAAACTACCATGTAGCTGAGTTCAATGGTGCTACATATTATTGGCAAGCGTGAGTAATCAGTTTCCAACCTTACCATCAGTTTGATAATCATTAAACACGATTGAGGCATTCAGAAAAGAGCGAAAAGGTGTAGTAACAATGAGCATCGCAACCACGCTGCAAAGTGTGATTATCAAACAAATAACCTAAAGAATTTAATCAAAACTATACATAAACAGAATGCCAGAAAATGGTTCCATGTATAACGCTTTCTGCTGAGCAATTCGGCTTACACGTGCATATAAATTAGAATATTTTTAGTAAACAATATCTAAGATAAAACAAAACATGACAAAGGAACAGCAACATGTAAAAAATTTGCAATGAAACACTTCCCATTCGAAACACTGCAACCAGAAAAACTGCGGAAGTTCTGTCACTAAGAACCTGAGAATCAACCGCTTTCGTGCAACTGATTGCACAACAACCTCGTTGAAGCTTAAGAGCATTATGGATATTCTTCTTATGCAAACTTAATCAGGAACCAAGGTGAGAGAGCAGGAGATTTTAAGTTATGGCTTGAGATTTACAGAAATCGAGAAATTCTTTGACCGCGTTAAGTTTTTCTTCCGTTAAAGTTTCCTCTCTAGTGATTTCGGGATTTTCAACAATCGGAAGAAAGGCATCGATAAATTCAGCTGAATATGGTCCACGAATAATTTCCAACGTCTCGGTAACAAAATACCTAAATCATTAAAATAAATTGAGCTTTGTTCATTCATTGATATCGATAATTAATTAATTAATTCTTTTACCTTATCAAAGAAATGTCCGTATCTTGTTTAAATAGCTTATTCTGAAGGTATCTGGTGACTGGAATAGCGTAACCAGCACTAAGCAGGTGGATCAGTCGATCGATCAGCATGCGCCTCCGTTCCAGTTGGACAAGAACGTCAAAACCATAGCTCTCGCAGTCAAACAGGTATTTGATTAGTTGCAAAATTCTAAAGCAATATATGGCCAACATTACAACAAACTGTTCACAAAAACGCGATTATAAACAATAAAATATGCTGAAACAACGACTGTAAAAACACTATTTATGCGTAACAATATCCGTGATGTGTTTCACTATTTGCATCTCGCCACATTACAAAAGACGATTATTTCACTTCCTGCTTGTAGGGAAGGTATCCACAGCTACCATGTCATGTACTGTAAAAATTCGGTTTAATGACGAAAACTTTTTTCGTCAGGGTAAGTGGAAGACCGGGATCTCTTTGGTCAAATCAAAAAGGCTTCCATGTGGAACGTCACATCTAACCCACGATTCATTTCAAAGGGTGCGTAATTCCTTCCGTCCACCATCAACGAAGAACCAAGGGTCCAAAAAAGTCTTCATCATTTGCCGTCGCGTAACTGGCGTGAGACTGATTTTGATGATAATTGGCACGCCCAGATATTCCAGAATATTTTCATATTTAAGGACTATAACAGCGTCCCGCCTAATGGAATTTAGCATGATATTCGTCAGCATGTTCAGCCAGGATAATGGTGCTGTCTTGAAAGTCCCGCTGACCATACGGAGTGCAACATTTGTTCTGGTTCCGCAACATGGACGTCGCAGCAGTTCCACCATATTATTGCGCAGTACTTCGATATCACATCCTCGTGATACACTGAACGATACTTATAAATGACCTCCGCCCTCTTCCTCGTTTTAGTGTTTTTCGATACTTTTCAGGATCCGATCAAGATCATTTCTGGATATCACAGTTCCTGTTCATTGGAGAGAAAGATATCTAAAAATTTCAAGCTGATCGCGGTCGCTGAAGTGAAAGATGGAGACGGCTGATTTCGAAAACTAGGTTGGAGACGCCAGCTTTTGCACACGTCCTCTTTAAGAACCTTTTCGGTGTTTTTTAGCGAAGATGCCGGCATTTTCAAAATGATAGCACACTGCATAAATGAATTTGTGGGATGAGTAAATGAGACATCACCAGGACCAGCGCGAAGCCCTGTAGAAGGGGGTGTTGAGCAAACAGCGTTACTCAACTGGAGCCCAAACATCAAATCACTGAACATCTTAGGAATGCGCCGAATGGTTCTTTAACAAGGGAGAATTGGCAACATTTTTAGCAAGAGTCCCTTTGGCCAACAGTGTCGAATCTGAAGGAGAGGAACATAAAGTAAAGTAAAGTCTGTTGATGCTTCTAATCTTGATCAGGGTTTTCTCAGCTTTTCATGGTTAGCTGAATGGTTTTGGCTAGCTCATTAACTAATCGCTCCTTGGGAATTAGGTTTCTAAGAGGCTTAAAAATTTGAAAACAGATGCCCTCAATTCTGAGATGGTAACCACTGAGCCTTGGCCAAGTGCTTTTCTTCGAATAGTCATCAAAATCTCTGGCTGACTTTAAATGACCCTAAAAAAGAGGAAGCAGTAGTTTCGCTAATGCAACAATGTCAGACAGAATTTCCACAGTTTCCGATACTGTGGTAGCGTATGAGCTTCAACAAAAAATAACCCAGCTCTGGAGCCGTTATGTCACGTCCATGTTTTATAAAGAAAGATACTGACACATAAATTTATTATTTAATAAGTATAGGAAGCACGAGACCGTATGTCAGGATAAGGTATGAGTTTCCGTTTTGGTCCCACTAACATACAGCGATCCGCTAACAAACTTATTCACGAAATAGTGTATGTGAGAAGCAACATGAATATGAGTCTACTGTTTTCCTATGTCGAACCCGGAAAATGAGGCCGAGAGACAATAATACAAAAGAGCAAAAGAGGAAAAACGATGCAAACAAAAATTTAAACATTCAACTCTAACTTGAACACGCATTTACTTGCTGTGAAGCGGTGGATGTAAGGAAACGATTTCGTCCAACAAAGATAGGTGAATTGGGACCGGTTCAGGATGTAGCTTGAAAAAGTCCGGTTCCGTTACAACCGCGTGAACCCAGTGTAAAACTCCGGCTGCAGCCGGAGCAAATCTAAGACATTGAAACATCGTCGTCAAATCCATCAGAAGATCATTGCTTCCCACGGATTCCATCAAAATACAGTGTGCCTTTTTAATAGCTTGTTGAGTCGCTTTCAATTCGTCAGTCTGCTGCTGCTTGTTCAAGTCTAAAAGCAGCTATGATTCATAAGAAAATATTTCATTGGAGATTACACGCAGTACAAAAGCTTTTGGTGTAGAAACAAGGCTTTGGCTGACGTTACCAGCCTTTCTCAACTGCAGACAATCAGAAATATATACAAAGGTACAGACGCACAAGATGGTCAACATGTATTTACAATTAGCTTTCGTTTTTTGTCTAGAGTTTACACAAGTTACGCCATGAAAGAGAGATATAAGCTCATTTGTCTTTGTTCATGACGTTGGATTTTGTATGGATTAAGAATGCTTCGGTAACTAAGCACTCTTTGTATTTTCCAACCTTTGTTACTACCATGGTTGGGAAGTTAAAGTTTTAGGCCAAACATTAGTGATAATCCACGGATATATCTGATCACTGATCAGTTTATCATTAGAAAGTAATTTATAGAATGATTTGCTAGTTAGTCTGAAAACTTGCCGAATTCAGCATCGCAAACGAATACGACAAAGACCATTTTTACAGATGATTAACGGGCGGCACGTGACTGTCAAAACAAGGCCTGACAGCTGTTGTTCGCGATCTGAAAGCCTTTGCTTACATCGTCGTCGGCCTTTACTCGTTTACTGAAACCGTGTACACACTTGCAGCGAAAGTGGACCTCCAGCTGTACCTAACAAAGACGATGGTGATGAAGAATCCTGATGAAACAGCAGCACTTAAGGCATGCCAGGAAAGCAGTGCCATCGAAATCCGGCTCTCAGAAGTGTCATCTCCACCGGTAGCAACTGTGATCCAGATCTAAACAGGATCGCGGTGGTTTCGATCACGTTCAAGAGTCTTCCGAAAATCTCCATAAAGTCTGCACAAAAATCCAGCCTTGGCACGCTGCAATCAAACAGATATTTTTGCACAGACTGGAAACAGCAGCGCTTACAAAAGCAAACGAACACAGAGTGAAGATGAAGTGGAACGTTTGCATCAGAAATGACGCCCTATTCGGAGTTATTGGATCTCAGAGACCAATCGGAGGTTATCGGAGAGAAAGGTGGCACTGTTCGATCATCTACGAGGAAGCAACCAAGCCTCACTGGCTAGTCAGATATTGTCGAACGAGTCGAAACATAAATGACAAGAGAATGATAACAAAAACATCACATGGTTGAAGAAACTAAACAGATATCTGCTGTAAATCAGAAATCTTTTTTGGTCGACGCAGTGAACAATTCATAATATCAAAATGCGAAATGTTGAGGTAATCAGACATCACAAATCTTAAGCAGCCTGGGCTTCGCAAAGCGGAAAAAGATTATGACAAACAACAACATACTTAATCATTGTAACATACTAATGCTCATTTTGAAGCAAGACACCCAGGCAAATACTCCCAGAACAAATGTTAAAAGTTTTCGATTTTTCCTTAACCAAAACTTACCTCGATAAAGAAACTTATGCCTGTACATCAGAATGCCATAAGCTCTGCAGCTTTCGGTGACCTCGTTAAAAGTAATCCTCTTTCTCTTATACTAATCACTCTTTATCTTGAAGACAATTATGCTGGAAAACTACGGAGTCGCCGTCAAAAAAAGCTGAGATGGTATTAGGTTACGGAAAATAACCGTGTGAACGACATTCTGCTACGTACTCACAAATCGAAGGAAAAAATTTGTAATCGTTGCAAAATCGGTCTTCCTTACACTTTCGTCGTGAAGCCATTTCTGGTGCCTTTCTTCTCATTAAGTTTATGGTGGAACGTTGGTCATCATTTCCATACGGAATTCGTCAGCAACGAGTGCCCTAGTTTAAAAGGCAGAGTCAACAGCAACTATGAGGTAAACGTGGTCTTGCGTTTTCTGTTTACGTCCCACAGAGTAGTACTCGTTTATCAGTTTCAGAAGAAAGAAAGGCGAGTGACTCGACCGAGATCTCTCAGTTCTGACTCAAATATTTTACCGAGTAGGTAACCTCAGCCCTCTAGCAATCGATTGATGCATGACACCAACCAATGGCCTAACAACGGACAGTGGACTATCTCTATCGGCCAATTTACAAACCATTCAACTAGCTTTGCAAAGAACAGAACAATACTGAGATTTTGCTTGAATGCTAACAGACTGCCACAAGCTCTACTTCCAGCATGCGGGAACGTGACATTATCGACATACTGTACAAAATCTCCCATTACGACTAATTTTGATCCTAACTGTATTATGTAAACTGAGAATGTAGTTCTGATCTTGCTTTACTAATTAAAGATGAAACAGTTTTTACTATGATTTATTTCAGAAACAAATGGATTCATATTCATTATTATGCACTTTTGCCTTACATACACCAGTCAGAGTCTATCTGCATTGCGCGCATTTGTCGGGTTAATTTAAAACAGTCATACAATACAATTACACTGTAACATTCACGAAAGGGAATACGTAAAAACTAGTCACACCGTGAACAAATGTTGTTAAATGTCTTACTGGGTACACAATTGCTGTTCAAAACTTGACATAAGTCATCAGAAATAAGTTATACGTAGCGTTGCGTTGTATTAGCTTTTATTCTCTTAGTTTTTATTAGTTCGATGAAGACGTTAAGACGTTAAATGTTTTCTTTTTTCTCAAGTTAAACTTAACATGAAAGTCCTCGATATTTGAGCTGCATAAGACATCGACGTTTGCATCTCCTGTTCACGAAGGAAAAGTGGTAATAAAAAATCGCGTGTCGCTTTACTAATGACGTCCCACGAACGGAATGAATCGCTGGCAAATATTATTCTGTCTTGTGAACCTCACTTACTCCGCTTTCCCTGGAGAGGAGCCGCTGAAATACTGTAACGTGAGTTTAGAATCGAACAGACCATAATGAGAAAAGAAACGTTGTTCAGTCAGTTGCGGTTTTTCACCACAATCTTGTCTATGTTACGCCTACACGGCTGCCATTATGGTTCGTATGGTAAAAGAGGGTTGCGCATGATACACACAGTTAATTTATCTCGCCATAAATCCAACCCCGTAAGATGCTGCAGAAAATGATTTACGTACAATAAAAAAGACCGTACGGTAGTACAATAAAAAATAGGTGGATTGTAAAGATAACCTTGAGGACTTGTCAAGAATCAAAAATTATACCGGCCGTGAATCAGAGACGGTCGGTTAAAATTGACATACTGTGATAGTTTTATCGTCCCATTTCGCTACTTGTAACGTAGTAATATCTGCAATAACATTTGTCCAAGTAACAGACCACTTTTTTTGAAAAGCAAAGCGTCATAGGGAACCATGACAAGATTTCTCCCTCCAACTACACCAACGTTATTAAGCAATGAACTGGCTAAAAACGACCCATGTTTGGCAGCAACTGATTCTGTTTGGACATTAGATGATTAAGAAAAGAAGGAGACCTTCTCGTGTGCCAGCACGCACTGCCTCGAGATGTGCGCAATGTAGTTTATCGATCTGAAAAATGCTCTTACCTCCCTGCAAAGTACCGCCCATGCTTGACGCATAAGCGAGAATGTAGATGTATTTGGGCTTGTGATCTGGGTTGAGGTTAGAACTCGGTTTGAATAGCGCCTCCAGAAGCAGCTCCATGAACGTGACGTCCTGAACGATGTCGACTGGTGGCGGGTCAGCGCTGCTGTAGAAGTTGTACAGTAGCGTGATGTCGGCTGCGTTTAAAGCGTTGCGCGACAGCATCGACTGCATCGCCTGGATGATAGTCGGGTCACAGGAATAAAGCGTGCTCCAAAGAGTCAGTGACAAGTCCGTGGTGTCCAGACCTCGCCGCATGGCTGCCAGGTGTAGCTCCTCGCTGATGCGTTTGATCGCACCTGCGCTCTCTTTGTCTGCGATCATTGACAACAGTGCCTCAGTAAATACGTACGCATGTTCACCGTAGAACACCACCTTCTCCAACTCAGCGAACGCGCTCTCGTAACCGTCCGTCTCTGGTACCTCTCGCAAGATGCTTTCTATGGCGGTAGACAACACGCGGCAGAAAATGTCCAGCTGCTGAGAGGCCGTCGCGATGCTACTGATCTCATGCTGAAATCCGGCGTCCGAAATAAGTTTGATAGCGAAGTTCAACATCAGGCACTCGGGAAACTGCTCGGACAGTTGGTAGATCATACTACGCCACGAAGGATATGAGATCAACTCCGGTAGCCACTCGATCTGGCTTTCGCATTGGTGATGGAAAATCATATCCGCTTTCTTTGGGTCGAAATTCTTCATTATTATCTCTTGCAGATGTCTCTCGAACAACCGCTGTACTTCCTCGATGCTGTCACCCAGAGTAATCAGCCACTCGGCCACCAGGTTACACATCTAAAGCTGAATCTCTGTAAACGACCCTAACGAATAACAAAATTTTGTTTCTGCGACATCTTTTCTAATGCTGGATACATCTGATCACAAAAATCTGTCATTTCAAATTCACTGGTCATTCAACAAAACATTACAACTAGTTATCCAAAATCCACTGACCGTGTTGTGTAATTCAAACTGAGTTCGTAGTCGTTCGTCGTCGTCATTACCTGTGACCTGTAGTCATCCTTATCATTGTCGCTATCATCATTATATTCATCATCTACGCCATCATATTACCCATCGTCCCCATAACCCATCTTCATCATCATGACCAAGAGATTTATTAGAGTGAGATTAGACTGAGAGAACCATCGTAACTCTCAACGGTCAATTGAAGATTAGATGACTGTATGACGAGGCATTAAATGACAGGTTAGACAAAGAATGAAAACAAGTATAAGAGTATACTTTTATTCACTCAAACGACTAGGCTACAAGTGGTTGACGATACTGCAACCAAGTATGCTGATTTAATTTAAAAAAAAAACATTATTATTACTGTTACGCTGTATTCTGCAGTAATTACGCGATTATCAGCGCAATTTTAAACTGACTGCGCGTAACATATGAATATTATGAGTCTTCTCAGGGTTTAGCACCAGAACACATAATAAAGTAATGCAGAGCGTCATTAAAATCTGTATATGGCCTCGTATATTCGAATACAGTTATGAATGCTGAACACCTATACAAAGACGAAAACGTAAAAATGAAGTTCGTTCGAAGGATTGCTTGAGTTATGAGAATCATCGACAAGCTTTAAAACACGACAGCCGAGATACACCGGTTTTGAAGTGCTGCTTCTTACGCAACTGGCATCCAATAGACACATGAACATGATGATTTCACAAGAAAGTCTAGCGAGACAGGTCACTTTTTAAAGTTAGATTAAGGGAGTTAAATAGCAGGACAAAGAACTGGCTTTCCTGGTAAAAGGAGAAAACTTCAGTAAGGTTTTCGTCTCTGCAGCTGGAAGGAAAATCTTACACCGAAGAAAGCCAACAGACCAACGCTTAAAATGACGAAGAATTTCTACAGTTGCTGTTGTTGTCAGCATCATCAACGGTTACATAGTTTGAAAAGTACAGATATTTGAATTAATTACATCTAACCTGGTTGAAAATAACTGTTGACGAACAGTCTGAAACAACAAATTTATAACATTCATTGCACATATTTATATTGCTAACTGTTGTAGCAACGATAATATTTCTCGCATGTCACTGTGGGTACACCCACACCTGATATTGTCTTCTGATCGCCATCACTTGCTTCACAATAACGAGTTCTGAAATCTTTCACAAACGTTCATTAACAGGTTGTCAACGGTAGAACAAAGGATGGAAAAGACGAGTTCTAGCTCAGTAGTACTGAAATGATTCCGAACACAGATTATTGCATAATGCCCGACTGTTCAAATGTCTGTCATGGTCATTCGTTTATTTCTTTTTTTATATCAGTCTATCTTGAGGCCTTATGACGTGAAAGCAGAAAGTTCAGGGCAAAAGACATAAGAATCACACACTTTAAGCCAAGATGCTACGAACAGGTCTTTCAGCAGCCAGACACAGAATATAATGACTCAGGCTCGAGAAGATTCGAACACCGCTTCAGGTAATGGCCAAAGTCATCAAAATAAGTTATGGTATTCTTTCATAATTATGCAATAAGGCTATGATCTTTCGAGCCTATTCATACAATGGGTTTCTGAAGGGGAAAGATATGAAAAGTAAGCCTTGATTTCAATCGGATATTTTCAGTAGAGAG